TCCGTCCGTCCGTCCATTGCCATGAAAAGTATGCGCCCTACGAAAATGTATCCGAGCAATGAAAAAGCATACATATTCAAGGCATGGAAAATATGCAGCGGCAAGAACCAATACCAATGCTGAGCTAGGCGAAAACAAGAGAGTCACGAAGAGAGGCGGCAGCTAGCACAACATGCAACATCATGACTGGGGAGGTCTCAAGGGGCACACAGAGACAGGGCAGCGGCAGGGGCTTCCCATGAAAACAAAATCAAAAGCTCACAATTAGGCCAAACGAACAGCAGACCAGAGAGCGGAGAGCGAAGAACGAGGAACGAAGAGTGGCAAAGATAGTGGCAGAGGCAGAGGCAGAAGCAGCGACATGCAGTGTGTGTTGCATGAGTATGTTGCATGTGTGTGTATATGTAAATTACTTGGGGGCAGTGAAGCCAAACTGTGAAACTATGTCGCTAGGTCGCCTGTCAATACAATCAAGCGGGGTACGGGTGTACATACGTACACACGGGTGCCCACAGGGGGAATCGAATCAAATCGATGTCGTGTTTGCAGGTGCCCAAGCCAAGGTGCGTCTATGAATTATCCATAAATAAAGGCAGAGACAGAGCCACAGGCAAAAGCAGGGCAGGGGCAGATACAAAGTCAGAGGCAGTCAAATGGCAACACGAACAGCAACAAAAGACTAACTCAAACACAAAGAACTTATGGCAAGACTAAGGTAAACAAGTGGGCAGGTCTATGGGGGGTGGAGAGAAGGGGGAGGTCTCTCTGCCACAAAACCACTCTTTCCCACTCTGTTTGTTCCTCTCTGTCGCTGTCTCTGGTGCACACTCAAGTGGTTAGACCTGGATATGGGTGCCATTAAGAAAGGTGTCAATAGATTTGCCTGCTTCAAAATGTGGAACTATGCTTAGGTGAAGCTGAAAAGCCGAACCTACTTAGAAAGAAATTAACCATTGAGGGGTGGGATAGAGGAATAAGAGGATATTTATAAATAGCAAAATTTGTTGCATCTTTAACTTGGGACAAAAATACTAATTGAAAATGCAATACAATTGGTCACATTCTACTACTCTATCGCTTCTACCTCTCTTTTCACCCCCCGACAATCATTAATTTCCTCATTCATTCCTACAGATGAAATATTAAATCAAATTACTTGGCAACCCTGGCTGACAATGAAACAAATGTTTGCTTGTGCGCTTTATTTTTGGCATTTTAATTAAAAATTGCCCTAGTTGTCGAGTTGTCGGACGAGCCTGGCGACAGTTTTGTACTGCACTTGGGCCAGGCCAACAGATTTTCAGATTTCAACGGCAGAAGGCACAACCAGAAGCTCTTTTGGCAGTCGAAATGGTAGATAGGAAGAGATACATAGATATGTACATACATGTACATACATATGTATAGAGCATATGTATATATAGTGAGAGAGAGAGAGAGAGAGAGAGATAGGGAGACAGCGACAAGCAGTGTCCCAATTTAGCCAGAATCGATGCTTGGCAGCAGGCGCGCAGGGGCCTGGGCGACAATGTAATTCATTCAGATTCAGCCCGATTTTATCCCCACCCTGCCTTCCACCCAGCACATGACATTACTGCACCGGATTCTCGCTTAAGGTATGCACTGTTGTTGCCTAGTTCACCTGCCGCCAGAGCTGCCAGACCTACATATCGCACATACTGCACCTTCCTGCTCTTTGCTTTCTACCTTCCAACCCAAGGTATATTAAACCAGTGGTATGGCAGCATCTATATATACATATGTAGTACAAAATCAATCTGAAACCTGCATTCATTCGCAGGGCTTTGGTGCCGATCGTAGCTGGTACTACTCTCTCTTACTACCTCACCCTCTGCTAAACATGCCCTGCTCCCACCTACCCATCCCCATCTCACGCACGCCGCCACGCTCTCTTTCCCTCGTGTTATGGCTATTATGTATTTGGCTTCGGAGCAGATTCTCTTCTACCTTATTGCTTATTGTGTCTGTTTCTCTTCTTGCTTGTTTCTTTATTTCGTTTGTTTCTTGATTTCGCTTTTGTTGCTGTTACGTCACTCGCGCACACAGGTATTTCATTAACAGTAATTCCATTCCGCGGAGATGCCTCCTCTCTTCAAGCGAGTAAAAATAACATTTTATTTTTCTTTCATAATTACAAATGCAACTAATTTGTTATTGCCCCCGCGGATAGAGAAGCTGGTTTTTTATTATTTTTTATTTTTATTTTTTGTTTTACTTTTAGCTTTGTTTGCTTTTTGCGTTTTGTTTTTTGTTTCATGCGATGACGCTGTGAACTTGAGCAGCCTCAAAGTCGATGGGTTATTGCCGTTCCCCGATCTCCGTTGTTACGGCTTACCTCTAATAACATTCAATTGATGCAGCCAATTAACAGCCATTGCCCGATGCAATTGCAAACAAACAAAAAACGCGACAGCGACAGCGATATCTATCTGAAGGCATTGGTGGCAATTATAAAATTGTTGAATATTTATGGGCAGGGCAAGGCAAGGTCAAGAAATGGGGTTTCCAAGCCGCCGCCGCCGCCGCGTCGGCAGGTGAACTAAAGATCAGCCAAAGCTCAATAATAGGCATGAACAGCTGATCCAGCTGATAAATTAAACTGATGTGGTAAGAGTATGATTTACATATATATATGCAATAGATCGCACTTAAGAGCACAATTAAAAGGATTAAAATTTAATGAAGATCATTAAGAAAGAAACTTAAGAAACCAAATATCAAATTATACTATAGAGGTTCAATTGAAAGCTAATTGATATGTACATATGTATGTATGTATTAAAAATGAAACTGATATGATAATGAGATTTAGGAGGGGGAAGGTACAGAGAAGGTACATCTGATGAAACGTTTTGTATATGTACCTACTGTTTTTTATAGCTATATGACTTTGCGGATTTTTCTGCGTAGAGAGGAATAGTATGACAGACAAAATGCAACGTTATTGTTCGTAGCCGTCTCTAGACACGTCTAATGGCTTTCAGTCGAACAACAGAGACTCTACTTGATACAAAATGATGTTTTACAGCAAACACAGCCACCAAGCCATCAAAATTGTATCCGCAAAGTAAAACAATCGATTAATCGCTGCTCCCAGATCAACCGGGAAGCCAGCTTGACGCATATAGTTCTCTCGCTCTGACTGCAGGCACTTCCCATAAGGCCATCCCTATTTTTTCAGCTAGTCAGTTAGCAAAGGCTAATGTCATATAGCTATTAGTAAGCATATGGGAATGAATTGGCCCAATAAAGTGTATTCAAATCAATTTAAGATCATGTACATAAACAAATAAAAGAAAGTTAACAACTGTTCGCTAGCAGTGTTACAAATGAACCTGAACACAGAAAGTACCGCGCGTACCGTGTAACAGATCCCTGGGTCAGACATGTCTCCATTAATGTAGAGCATTCTGTTAATTTCATCTCGGACAAAAGTGCAGGAACTTATCTATGGATAAATCGGATAGATTGGACTTTATAGATTAAAAAAAAACCATTGAGGCTTGAGTTTTCATTCTCAAAGCCACAAAAAGTAACCACAATATAGTTAGTGAATGTTGTAAACCTATTTTTCACGCATAAGTTGTGTTCCATATGGAAGGGCCTCTACAGCTATTTTCACCCCTTAAAATAATGGCATTTCGTTTTCGGAGCTTAAAAGTGATTCATTTTTACTATTTTCATTTTCGTAAACCAATTTAGGCGGCTCAAAGTTTTTCCTAGAAGTTCCACTGGCTTTAATTTACTGCTTACATTGCAGTTTTGCATTTTGAGAGCTCTGCGAGTATTCTGGGAGGCCTCGATTATGGCCCCAACGCACACACATACACACACACACACACACACTCGGAGGCACGCATATAGGGCTCGGACTCGGCTAATAAGCCGAGGGAATGGTGAGGAGGGGCAAAGAGCAGTGTGAGTCCCCGTCTCCGGGTCGAAATCACCGCCGTAACCATTACGGCAAATAGGTTAACAGCAGTTTCGTGCCTTTTGCATGAACATTTCTCTGTACATACTCGTATGTATGTACATGAGAGAGTGTGTACTTGTTTACATAAACCTTTTCTCGTTTTTGGGTTTACTTTTTCTTCTCAGTTGCTTTGTCCCGTCCCCTTACTAGCTCTTCTGTTACTCTACTGGTCCTATGCATGTGACTGTGACTGTGGCTGTGCCTATACCTCTGCCGCCACAGCAGCAGCAGCAGCAGCAGTTTAACCCACATACGAGCGCTGCTCCACGAAATTGCGCAACGGGGGTGGGGGTGTGCTGCTGGAAGGCGACCGTCTGGGGGCGGGTGTAAATGCAAATGAAACGAAACGACAGACAAGCGGACAATTTAATGCCTATTTGCATTTAACAGCAGCAGGCAAAAAACTAGAATCAAGTGTCGGGTTAGGAGGTGAGAAACGAGCAAATGGATGAGTAAAAGGAAAGCAGAAAAAAGTAAAAAGAGCGAGGGACAATGACAGCAACCGCAGTAGAAAGGTGTGCAGGAAGGTGGGGGGTGACCGACTGCGCAACAAGGGGCGGCAGCCAGGAAGGATCGGCAAGCAACGTCTCAGATATATCATCTACATATGCGTGAGGTGTTGTAAAAAAGCAAGTCGCAGTTTACAGTTTACTCAGTTGAAAAGAAGTCGTAATTTCCCTGAATTTCCAACCCTCGTTGGGAAGCTGAACACAGTTATTCGGAATTGCTAGAAAACCAAAGGGGCTGGAGAGGCGAACAATGACAATTATGTTTATGTCTGGACTTGAGAGGATCCACGCAAAAGTAATCTATGGCGGATCCACTGCGGATTTCCCCTATAAAATATCCACTGCAAAGGATTCCCTGCAATGCCTCTGTAGAGGATCCGCTGCGTAGTTCCACCTTAGATGAACCACTGCTTTCCACTCCACCCCCAATTACCCAATTATTCTACGCTTAAGGCTTAAAGAGATCGATCTTACATCTAGTTTTTAGATATATTCACCTTTTTGCAAGGAGTCGTGCATACAGCTGCAATTAATTTGAGTGTGGCTATATAAGAACGACTATATATGGTACTTGGATACGCTTTATGTGGATATCGCTTTATGCTGGGCTTACTTTACAATACAATATGTACTCGTACGTTATTATTATTTGTTATGGTATTCAATTATTCAATTATTGTTTTACATGTGACGCGCGACAGTTGCTTTTGTTGTTGTTGCTGTTGCTGTAGCTTCTGTTGGAATTATTTGTTAATTTATAAACTTTGTCTTGACTCTGTTCTTTCCTCTCTTCTGCTCTCTCGTTAGGCGCTGATCAACAGCTAATGTTGCTATCGTATCGTTGTTGTTATACTCTATGCTAATTTTTGTTGCTTTTGTTGAATTATAAAAAACGCACACACAAATGGGGACACACACAACCACGCGGTCAGCCGAACAATAAACTTTAGTGATGCAAAAACGTTTATATCGATCTTTCGCTACATATATCGATCTGGGGGAATACCTATCGACGAGTATGGAAAAAATCCTTTTCTGTAGCAAACAATTTGTTTAGCGTTTAAGCTGAGTGCTGTTGCTTCCTTTTCTGCTTTCTGTGTTTCATGCGCGTCACGCGCGTCTTCGTCTTTTCCCGTTGCGCGTTTGAGTGAGTATGTGAATAGGTGAGTGCTTCTGGCGAGGGTTATGAGTGTGATTGTTATTTTGCACCAAATTCAAATATCACACTCATTTGGGAGAGAGTGGCGCCGAGAGAAAACACAACTTAAGCTCTATTCTAAGTTACGCGCTCTCTCTCTCTCCCTCTCACTCTCTTTATATATATTTCTCTCTTGCGCTCTCTGAGTATCTGTGTGCCACGTGTGCCTTGTCTGATCACATTTCTATCTGAAAGTGTGTGCATGTGTGTTTGCTTTTGCTCTGTTATTTCTTTGTCTCTTTTGCGCGTATTTTGTAGATTGATTTTTTTAAGTTTTTTATTTTTTTATTTTAATTTTCAGGGGGTTGTTTGTTTTAAAATTTATTTCAAATATTGCAAGAAAAACGTTTCATTTCAACCTTAAGCTTTTGCTCTCTCGCAACCACCATACGTACATGGATGGCTCTCATCTCTCTCTCTCTCTCGCTCTGCCTCTCTGTGTTTTTCCTCTCCCACCGACAGTTTGCTTATTAGGGCACTAGGTTTTCATGCAAACGTTGGAAAATTGCTGCACGTTCACACACACACACACACTCACACACACATACACTTATGAAGAGCGACATTTTTGGGACAAACTTATGCATTTCCTGTGCAACTGCCAAAAGCTCGTTGCGAACGAACGAGGGCTGCAGGTTTCAAGCATTCATCATTGCCTTGAACGAATTGAACTTCTATCGGATTTTGTCATTCAAATTGTTTATGACATAATAACTGAGAAATGCCCAGGCCATATGTTTGGCCCGACAGAGAGTGCCAGAGAGAGCATATTCCATGCGGAGGGAACGTGAATATGGAAGAGAATAACGAGAAAAACTCGTTGGGGACACACAAACGAAAACGAAAAGCATTTCAAATAAAATAGTATATAAATTATGTATACGCACTGTGTGCGTTGCGTTTTATCAGCCTCAGCTTCAGCCTTAGTTTCAGCCTTAGCTTGCAAGCGCTAATCAAGTGAGGGGGTGGCTGGGTGTAGGAGGGAGTGGGAGAGCGAGAAAAAGCTTTGCACACACACACACACATACACACTGGGAGAAAAAGAGTGTTTAGGAGTGTGTTGGTGCTGCTTTGACACACTTTTTTATGACGTCGTTGATTTTAATTTCGTTTGCTCGTTCCAACGCAACGTTTTGTTTTTGGTGTGGTGTGTGTGTGTGTTCTCGTTCTCGTTCCGCTCTTAGAAGGAGCTTTGCCTGACATTTGATTTGACCATTGGAATGGGTTCCAATGTGAAAGAGGGGGAAGAGTGCTGTCCCTTCCCCAGCAAGGGAATGTTTGTTGATAACAAATCCCACGAAGCATCTGATAAATTAACACATGTTTTTTGGTTACCACCTCTTTCTCTCTCTCTCCCTATCTCCAACTGAGGCTTCCAATCGGATGGATGGATGGAGAGCCGTCCGTCTCATTCCAGTTGGAAGTGGAATTGTTTTTGGTGTGGGGTGGGAGGGTTTACCAAGTGTTAATTAAATTTGGTACAAAATCTAGCGCGTTACAATTTCAGTTTCTTTTTTTTATATACATTCGGTACATGTGTGTGAGTGTGGACTTGCGTTTGTGTGAGTATTTATGTAACCAGCCTGACAAACGGGCAAGCGAGAGAGAGCGCACATGCCAAGGCATAGATACTTTTTGGCATTGAAACAAAACGTAGTTCACAAAAAGCACACGAACACATACACACACACACACACCTACACAGGCACGTACGAACACTTGCACACAGATACGGATACGACACGAAAAAAGAACTTAGAACGAAACGCAAAGAAGAACAAGAACAGAGAACAGTAGAACAGTAGAGCTTAGAGAGGAGATACATAGTACATATACACACTACACACACTTCTATGCCTCTCTGTCTCTGTCTCTCTCTCTCGCTCTCTCCTTCCCATTCCCCTTCTCTGCTCCGCGTGTGTGCATTATTTAATTTAATTTAATTAAATTTTATTCCGTTCATTCTCATTAGACAGCAGAGCAGCCAAACCAAAACGATAGCAACAGCAGCAGCGTTGATGTTGACGTTGACCCAGCGTTAGCCCACTTCGAGATACTCTTGTGCAGCACTTTTTTAATTGGTTGCTCGAAAACCACTTTTGTTTAGATACGGATTGCGATTTAATAGATTGATTGATAGATAGATTGTTGTTTTGGATGTTGCAGAACTTTGTGCTTATTTCGCTTCACGAACACACATACACACAGTCGCAGCAGTCACAGCCTGTGTATCTGTGTGTGGGCTTTTGTGGCATAAACATATAAACAAAACTCACAAACGACGACGCTGGGACGCTGTGACGACTCGTCTATGAATCCAACTGAACTGAAACTGAGGAGCTGAAAACTTGAAGCAGCGTTTGCTGCTGAGATTTCTGTACAGAAAAATTCCGATGGTTCCCCATTCGGCGGGGCCGAGTGGTGCATAGTGGTTGTGCACCCATACACCCACAAACCCGAGAGAGTAAGAGAGCAGCGCCTGTGTATCTGTGTGTGGTGCTCAATATATTTCGGTTTTGCTTTCGAATTGGAAAAGAGCGAGCCAAGTGAGAGAGAGAGAGAGAGAGAGAGCCAAGTCACTCTCTGGGCTCTCTCTGGCTGCGTAAAAACAACCACTTTACGCTCAATTCGGATTCAATTTGAATTTCCATTGTGCATTTTCCAAGCAGCATCTCCAGCTTCGTCGCATTTCCTAGATGACTCTCACAAATCCAATAGCTCATAAAGGCCATAACAATACCCCCGTATATATAGCCAACTAATGACACTGATAAGACGAGGCAGCATGCACTGAAACTAATCCGCATCACGTGGAAAGCGGCTAAAAAACACTTCTGTACACAAATGAGACTCAATTTATTCAAATTGGTATTCAAAATTCGCAGATAGGCCTTCGATTTGCCGTGCAATTGCATTAGTTTCCTCATTATCACTAATCCTACATAATAGTTATAGTTACATCTCTTCCGATTAAGACATACATACATTCAAGAATAGCAAGGACAGGGAGGATTCTAGGAATATCACAAAACATAGAAGACTACATAAAATAAAAAACAAAAAATTATAAAATTACACGGGGGGCGAACCCTGCTGTGAAGTCAGTGTGTCAAATGTTTCCAAAATCCCCGATGGAAGCATGAATAAATAAATTATGCACATTAAAAGGAATGCGCAAGGTCTTTCTGGTGCGGACAGTGCTGTTTAAGTGTTCGACGTAGCTGAGATTGCGTGTTGCGTCAGAGATTCATGTGTTGCTGTACTTTGTTCCTGTGTATTTCCCTATCAAATTCTGGCTCCCCGGTCCTGATCCGGGCAGATCAGCTCGATGTTGAGCTGTGGCTGGTAACATAGGCCTCCGTCTCCATGGGACACAAAGGTGGCGCCATCATCACCGGCTCAAAGTGTTCCAGGATCTGTAGGAAGGTGAGCGTTGTGCGCTCGCAGCGGGCTGTGTGCGGCATTAGGTGGCACACATCAAACTACAAAGACAAACAAATCAATAAAAAAATAAGTAAAGTTAAAGGTATTTTACCTTTTCCGTCTGCTGCTCTTCACCGCCGCACTGCATTAGGTTCGTGCGATGCAGCACGTAGCCCACCCGCTGCGTCTTCGCCGTGTTCTTGGTGAGACGCCGCATCACGGTCACGTCCAGGTCCTCATTGGCCGAGATATGATTGCTGCCGAACTGACCCTGAGCACCGGTCCACTCATTCTCCATGTAGATGAACTTGTCCAGGGGGTCCAACAGCGACTGCGATGCCTTGTGGGCAACGCTGGTCAAGTATCCCGCTGGATGAACCTCCGAGGGCCGACCACAGCCACTAATATCCTCCAGCACCAGACGATAGATATGCAGCACCGGTTTGTTGTCCAGTACGCCCTGACCCAGACCGCGTTCGTCGTCCCTGGCCAGGCGGCGATCCTGCATGATTTCCATTTCTCCAGAGGCGAGCGAGGAGCCGCCCAGCGGTTGTCCTGTGAGCAGAGTCAGTCGCATGCTGCCATCTTCGATGAACATGGCCGATGGCACCGGATAGTAGTTCGCCTGCAGTGGCAGCTTCCACAAGCGCCGCCGCTTGATGTGCTGCAGTCCATTCAGATCCGTGTAGAATATGTTCCCGCTGTCGATGTGCGTCTGCAGGCGCATCACGATCTCCGTGTTGTCCATCACACCGATGTCCACGAGATTGCGTATCTCTGGTGCCCCGCCACGCATAATCGTCTGATGTATGACACTGGTCAGACCCACACTCACTGTTGACTCCAGCTTCCCTTCGGTGACCAGCACCACGGGATTGCTGCTGGGGTAGGGCGAAGCCGGACCATTGGGCAGGAAGAGGTAGGCCCCAGAGCGATCTCCGTGCTGGCGAGTGCCGTACGTGAGGAACTTTAGATGGACAGGCACATGCGAACTGTCAGGCGTTAGCTGAATGGACTTCAGGAGGCCCTGCTCGGAGAAGGCCAGCGTGGGTCCCTGGCCCACACGCAACGAGATCTCTCGATGCTCGCCGAATTTAACATCCTGCGGATATTGGCCCAGACGAACGGTCTGTGGATTGGTGCGCAGCAGCAAATTCGAGGCATAGGAAGTGTGTCTGCAAGAGAGGTGGAAATGCGAAAAACATTCTAAAAACAAATCTGTCTGAAGAGGGGTGGGAGACTCACTCTGGCTTGTTGTCGGAAACTGTCAGCACATAAGTGGACAGTCCCATGGGCGGGACGCGAGCCTTGAAGATGATGCGATACTTGGTGGTGGAGCCTTGTGGGTGAGTGGTTTTCGTGACCGTGTCGTGATGCCAGGTCCAGACGGGCGTCACTTGAGCCTCAACTGGATTGTTGGTGGCGTCGGTGACGCTGACGAATGGACTCGAGACGAAAAAGTCCACCAATTGCTCTCGCCAGTGGGGCAGAGTGTTGTGCATCACCACATGCTTGGTCGGCAGCTGATCGCCGAGAATGATAGTGGTGCGTAGGTCCTCCACGCCGGATCCCGGCAGGCGGGAGTCGTCCAGCATAAAGTAAACAAAGTTATAGTCGGGACTGTAGATGGAGGGTTTGGTGAGCAGGCGGTAGATCGATTGCTGCATCACAGACTGGCAGCCCTTCAGCGCCTTCACCATACGCTTTTCGTAATCCAACACGACATGGTTCTTGGCGGTGCCGGTGATGCCGTCGTGATGTTGGAACAGCGACAGCTGTCGACGTGCATTTGCCAGCACTCGATCAAAGTCTGTACTGTTGGGCCACACGTTCCAGGCAGAGAGCATTTCCGCCGAACGCACATAGTGCATCAGCACTCGATCCATGCGCTTGTGGTAGGGCCGCGACGTATAGTAGCCACTCCAGTAGTTGTCCGCTCGGTCTGCATAGGTGAAAAAGTCGCCGCTGAGCGAGGGGAAGGCCTGCGGCTGCTGGTGCACTGCGTTAAAGTACTCTTCGAGTGTGCCAAACTGCGCCTGGACATTGAAGTGTGGCTGGCTGTTGATGTGCTCGAAGAGCCTATCGTAATTGACACGCTGCACATCCCACTCGGTGTTCTGCTTGAAGCGGAAGTCGTCCCCCAAGGGCACCAGCAGCACATTGTTGCGGTACAGCTCGGCCTTTTTCTTCCACTGATCCACCAAGAGCTCCGAGCGGGCAGCCACATTGTTATCATCGATGGCCTTAGGAGATATGCGCCACGGACAGCTCATTCCGAAGGCTCCCGTTCGCTTGAAATCGAACTGGCAGCACACCTTGGGATCTGGCCCACATGTGTGGGGAATGTCGTACGAGTAGAAGGGCATCATGTGCGTGAAGAGAGCTGTGTCGCCGGTTGTGTCCCATATCTGGCGCCAAAGGAACTCCAGCTGGCGCTGCTGTGCCAGCTCCTTCTTCACCGAATAGTGGGTTCTCTGGATAAGGAGATTCTTGAATCCACTTTTCTGCAGGATGTACGGCATAGTTGGGCTGTGGCCAAAGGGATCGATGGCCCAGGAGGCGGTGGGTGTTACATTGAAATTTTGCTTGAGCCAGGTCTGTCCCTCGGTTAGCTGCAGCAGCACATTCCGCCAGTGCGTGTTGGCTTCGTCGGGCATCACCCAGCCGCCGGTGACAAACTCCAGCTGTCCGGACTTCACGATTCTGCAGGCAATTGGGGAGGATAAGCAAATCCTTAAGTTATTAATCAATTCATGCTTACGCTTTCATCTGTAGCTTTTTGTTCTCCCCCAGATCCTGATAGAAGCGCGCAAAGTACGAGATCTCTGCCCAAATGAACTTCATGTCGGGATTCGCGTGGAGGTGCCGCAGCGCATTGGACAGAATGTGCTTGGTGTCGTGCTGATAGTACTCCTCGAACGTCTCCAGCCAGCCAGGATCGTTGTGCGAGTGCGGCACAACAAACACCTTCAGCTTGTGGTGCATGTTGTATTTCAAGGGATCGTACTTGATGTTCCAGCCCTGTTTCCACACGCCGCCATCAATGTCCTTAAAGGACATCTTGTCGTAGAGGTCCAGCATCTGCACATCCACCTCAGGCACCTGCTGCACCACATCCATGCACCCTGGCTCGCTGCGTGGCACCACCTTCACCGCTTCGCGCTCCAGTTTCACACCATCCTCCTTGGCCAGACGGGCCCGAAGATGGCGCATTTCCACGCCGTGCTCTTGCAGGCCATTCTCCAACTGCTGCAGCTTGTCCTCAATGGATGGATAATTAGGCTGCATAAAGAAAATAATTGTTTATTTCCGCTAAATGCGAAACGAAAGCAATTAGTCTCACCTTTTTCTGGCTGGCTGCCGGCGCAGCAAAGTTGAGGATCACATAGAGGCTGAGAAAGACGAGCAGGATGCCCGAGCAAATTAAAAGCGCAAAGCGACGACGTATGCGCAGCATTTCTTTCCTAATTTATCATGGAAATGATTACACGTCAGACAGCAAGCCTACTGAAGCAAAAATTGTCCAACTTGACTCCTCGACTTGCGTGGTTTTTTTCACATAAACAAATGATTAGAGGTGAACAGTGTGACGCGGAGTTGCCAGAGTGTCATGAAATCGCTTCTCTCCTATGGAGTCACTGCCATCACGCGATAATCACATTTGTTCTTGCAATAACGGTATTCAATTTAGATGAAAATTTCCCTTCTTGGAAAGAAATTGTTGTTTAAAATTGCAATTTGCTAATAAATATTGCCAATATTACGACCCGCAAGTCATAGTACTGCCTGGCATCTATCGATTTTTTGCAGTTGCAAAAAAAAAACGCGGACGAAACATTAATGCTAGACCTGTCAAACGATTGATAGTTGAGCCATCGATAGTTTTGAAAAAACAATCGATACTATCGTAATAGTATCGGGCTCAAAATTTTCCGCAGAGGCTCTTCTTCCTTTTTGCGGAAAATATTTTTGTCTTCTTCTTCCTATTTGCGGAAAATTTATCTTCTTCTTTTTTGCCTACTTTTGTTTTTAGGGCTGCCAGATCTGTTCAAGGCGAATCGGTAATGAAACGGGTAGCAAAATATCATGGTGGCAGCCCGCAACTACGAATTGTACGAGTCTGGCAGCGCCACAAAACGACGTCACATTCGTTTTATGTTGTTTTCGTTTGAACCTTAATATGTAAATAATCAAATAAAAAAGACTTCTGAAAATTTGCCAATCTTGTAGAAAATGTATGTATCTATCGGATAAAATTATTTTTGTATGGCTGAGAGTCCCAGCTAGCTAGTAATATTAAACCGAATATCAAAATCGAGGAATATCAACTTTGAATCTCTCTATCGGGCTCAAATAATTATTAAAAAACCATTGAAACCTTTTAGAATCTTGTTCATTGTAAAAATTAGATGCCACCTGTCGATTTGTTTACAAATGTGTCTTCGTATTTTATAGCAGCCAATCCGAACATATCAAAAGCGCAACGACTGTAGCTCGATACTATCATGTCGATAATAGAGGCTAGCAGTAAAATATCGATACTATCGATAGTGCCCTCGATGGTTTGACACCTCTAATTAATGCTAATTGAATTGTATCGTTATTCGTCCTTTGATTTTATTCCTGATTGCATCATGAAGCGTCAGAATGTGAGAACGTTGTCGCTGGTGGTATGCACCTTCACGTACTTGTTGATTGGAGCTGCCGTTTTCGATTCGCTGGAAAGTTCTTTGGAGGCAAAGCGTTGGGAGTTCTTGCAAAGTATGGTATTTATAGACCCTGCCCTGCCTCCCCCCACATCTTATACATATATTCATAACTGATACATCGACGTATATTTTCCAGCCGTAAAGAACAATTTTGTGAAAAAGTACAATGTGAGTGACGAGGACTTTCGAGTGATGGAGATTGTCATCATTGAGAACAAGCCGCACAAAGCAGGACCGCAATGGAAGTTTGCTGGCGCCTTCTACTTCAGCACCGTTGTCCTGGCCATGATAGGTGAGTCCGTGACTATCTTAAATCCATCCCCAGTATCAGCATTAATCTTTGCTTCCCCTAGGCTACGGTCATTCTACGCCAGTCACCATTCCGGGAAAGGCCTTTTGCATGGGGTACGCAATGGTGAGACGTCAGAGCCGTACCCTTGCATATCCGCAATTAATCAAGATTTCCCTGAACAGGTGGGGATACCCTTGGGACTGGTCATGTTCCAGTCGATCGGTGAACGTCTGAACAAGTTCGCATCGGTCATTATACGACGGGCCAAGCGGGCAAGTGGCGCCCGATGTACGGAAGCCACCGAGATGAATCTTATGCTGGCCACCGGAATGCTCTCGTCTGCCATAATTACCACGGGAGCAGCTGTTTTCTCGCGATACGAGGGCTGGAGCTACTTCGACAGCTTCTACTATTGCTTTGTGACATTGACCACAATTGGATTTGGCGACTATGTGGCCCTGCAGAACGATCAGGCTCTGACCAACAAGCCGGGATATGTTGCCTTGAGCTTGGTTTTCATTCTCTTTGGCCTGGCCGTGGTTGCAGCCAGCATTAATCTGCTCGTCTTGCGTTTCATGACCATGTAAGTCGTGCTCTGTTAGTGGAATCAAATAAACTTATCTGTTTTGTGTATTTCAGGCAAGCGGAAGATGCCAAACGGGATGAGCAGGATGCTCAGAATCTGGCGGGAAATGCGCAGCCGGTTACCTTCGACGACGAGACCACATACAACATGAACGGCAAACTGTTGGAGCACAACTATACAACCGAGAACGATGAGACAGCCTCGCTCTGTTCCTGCACCTGCATGGGCGGAACGCGCTGCCTGAACCACGAGCAGTTTATCGACCCGGACTTTCAGCCCACAGACATTATACAAAGCACACAGTGCCTGCATCGCGCATCCATTTAAGATAGCCAACAGACGCCTACTTGAATTAGAAGTCAAAGGCCGACTTGGAGTAGGAACCAATGCCAAAGAAAGCTCAAACCCCGAAGAGAGGGTGCGCCAGAACGCAGTTGCAATCATGTGGAGACCCACACCGCCGCATTTAATCGTTGGTTGTTAGACGAACCACCATATACACACATATACAATGGAGTAACCTCCTACAAATCATGGCAATATCAATCGCATCACCTACGAGGGAGAGGATGTCGCCTCTTTTAGTCGTCACCCCACCCACCCTCACATTTCATACATCTCAAAAACATACAAATTTTAACTGTGAAATCAAAGTATTATTAATAGGAGGTGGCGTTAACCCGTGTCAGACGTGGAGGCCAAATAAATCTTTCAACTAATCACGGTTGAAAGTAACTTAATATCAAAAAAAAAAAGTATTAAAGAATATTACTCAAAATCGTTAGCCCAACAAATTTAGGAAATGTCTGAACAAAGTAGTCGAGCAGTCCACTTTCTGGGCTGGCCTTAGGTTTTATTCTCATTCAAAGTACGTTAGAGCCAGTGAAAACACACGTATAAATTTATACACCCAAAAATTTATTCGGTCGCCGGTCGTATTCCAGAAAAGTTGTTCAAGTTTTTTTTTTCCGAATTAATTTTTGAATTTTTTTTGTGCTGTCAGTAGCTTGTTAGTTTTAATCTAAAATGCGTGAGATTGTACACATCCAGGCGGGCCAATGCGGCAACCAGATTGGGGGAAAGTTTTGGGAGGTGATATCAGACGAGCACTGCATCGACGCGACTGGAACGTACTACGGCGACAGTGATTTGCAATTAGAGCGGATCAATGTGTACTACAACGAGGCCACTGGAGCGAAGTATGTGCCACGAGCCATTCTAGTCGATCTGGAGCCTGGCACCATGGATTCGGTGCGCTCGGGGGCCTTTGGCCAGATCTTTCGCCCCGACAACTTTGTGTTTGGACAGTCTGGGGCGGGCAACAACTGGGCCAAGGGACACTACACGGAGGGAGCTGAGCTGGTGGACTCTGTGCTGGATGTGGTGCGCAAGGAGTCCGAGGGCTGTGACTGCCTGCAGGTAAGTGAAATCCCCTGGGCTGGGTAAAGCCCGATAAATAAAACCCCTTCTCTGCAGGGTTTCCAACTGACTCACTCGCTGGGTGGAGGCACTGGCTCCGGAATGGGTACTCTTGCTGATCTCCAAGATCCGCGAGGAGTATCCCGACCGTATCATGAACACCTTCTCGGTGGTGCCATCGCCCAAGGTGTCCGACACCGTGGTGGAGCCCTACAATGCCACCCTGAGCGTGCATCAGCTGGTGGAGAACACCGATGAGACGTACTGCATCGACAACGAGGCGCTGTACGACATCTGCTTCCGCACCTTGAAGCTGACCACCCCCACCTACGGAGATCTGAATCACTTGGTCTCGGCCACCATGTCCGGGGTGACCACATGTCTGCGGTTCCCCGGCCAGTTGAATGCCGATCTGCGCAAGCTGGCCGTGAACATGGTGCCCTTCCCCCGGCTGCACTTCTTCATGCCGGGCTTTGCTCCGCTGACTTCGCGAGGATCGCAGCAGTACCGCGCCCTCACCGTGCCAGAGCTTACCCAGCAGATGTTCGACGCCAAGAACATGATGGCCGCCTGCGATCCGCGTCACGGTCGCTACCTCACAGTGGCCGCCATCTTCCGAGGTCGAATGTCCATGAAGGAGGTGGACGAGCAGATGCTGAATATTCAGAACAAGAACAGCAGCTTCTTCGTCGAGTGGATACCCAACAACTGCAAGACAGCCGTGTGCGATATACCGCCTCGCGGTCTCAAGATGTCGGCCACATTCATTGGCAACTCAACGGCCATCCAGGAGCTGTTCAAGCGCGTCTCCGAGCAGTTCACGGCCATGTTCCGGCGCAAGGCCTTCTTGCATTGGTACACTGGCGAGGGCATGGACGAGATGGAGTTCACCGAGGCGGAGAGCAACATGAACGATCTGGTGTCGGAGTATCAGCAGTACCAGGAGGCCACTGCCGACGAAGAGGGCGAATTCGACGAAGACGAGGAGGGTGGTGGTGACGAATAGTCCACCTGAAACACACACTCAACACCCACCGCAAACACTCACACACTCGCACATATATCATATCATATCATATATCATATCAATCAATCAATTCGAATGCAAATCTCACACCCTTACTGCTGTTGTTGCACATATCTCCAGATCGGAGACGCCTCGCCCTATTTGACACTAAAATTGTTCTTAATCGCTCTTCTGGTTGGGTCATACAAACACACCTCACCCCATACCTACTCAAGCCCAGAAACATTCTCTCTTTAATTTTACTATGCAATTTCTAGACACCTTCTGCTCAAGCTCAGACACACTCTTATTTTATTTTCGGATTGCAATTGCTAGATACCTGTGCTCTCACACAAATACATAAATACCAATGTTAGTAATAATAAATCTGGTTGGAGGCTGTGCATAAAACTGTCAGTTTTTGTGGTGGCAATGCCTTGTTTGACGTACAAATTGACAGGTGTCCAAATTGGCAGGGTAGAAAGTAAGGTTAGGTCTAGGATTTGTGTGAAAAACAAAAGTCACTCCTTCCTGGCAATTTTTATTTAATATTCGGCTTGGGGATGAGTTTTATTGAGACGCCTCAGACGTCACGAGCTCCCTATATGCGCGGTCGCAAGCGCACCAATCCTCATCCCATATCGGTGCTACAATCGAAATCAAAGCTGCCCTCGGACAAGAAACAAAAACGTTTGTCAAGTGATGATCGGGAAAGCAGCTCAGAGGAAAGCAATAGTGACTGTTGCAATAGCGAAGATAGCGAAAGCTACAATAGCTATGACAGCGACTCGGAATAGCTTCAGGAAAAGTACACTTAAATCTTCGCTCTACAATTTACGGATTTATAGCAATATATATTTTTTGTTTTTAGCCTTCATTTCATTAAATGGCGTGCATGGTGCAGTGCCTGTGAGAGGAACAGCCGCAGCAGAAAATACTTAAGCGTCAACGAAATTATTTATGGAACATTGCAGACATTGAGATACATTAAATTAAATTAAATTAAACCATTGTTTGCCTAAACATCATCAAAGAGACCTCGTGGCGGGGGCCCCACAATGCGGCGTTCGTGCTCCGCCTCGTAGTCTTGGTCCAACTCACTGGTGCCCCTGAATCCCACCTGCATTTGGGTGCTCACGCCAAAGCGATCATTGATCTCCTCCGACAGGGATCGGGGCACGCCCAGTGCTGAGGATGAGGCCACCGCAGCATAGTCAAAGCTGCCGTCACCGTCGCGCAGTAGTCCGTCGGCTGGGGTGCGACTGCTGGCCAAGGCGCCAGCACCTGACCGGTACTTATTTATGTAGTCATTGCTGGCCACTGTCGGATCGGGTCGATTAAAGTCACGGCGCCTGGCCATGGCCTCCTCGGCTCGCTGTCGCCTCCGCTTCTCTCGAGCAATTAGATCCTTTCCCTCCTGCACCAGCTCCGTGGCAATTGTTTCGTTCTGCAGGAACTGCTGGAAGCCCAAGGCGTTCAAAGCCCGACTGCCCAGGCTGAACCACGTAGACAGACAGAAGGCCAGCATGCACATTGGAAAGTATATGTTGAACCCGTTCGAGATGATGCCAATGACGTCCATGTGTCCCATGATTCGAGTGTAATATGTTTCCATCATTCGCTGTCACGAGACATAGTTAAATGTTGGAGTTTTACTTATATCAATGGATATCTACACAGTACTCACCTCTGGTATAATGTGCGAATCCATGTGTATTAGACCCAGAAAATTGAGGCACATTGGCGGCGTTAGGCGACACAGGAGCATTCCACTAAAGATCAGGCTGTGCTCATTGGTCTGATGGTGGGGCGCAAGGTAGTACAGATTTAGGAAGCGAATGCGCAGAATGGTTGAGTAGGTGCAGTAGAAGAAGTAGCACAGAACCATCATGGAGAATACTTCAATGGTAAAGAAGTCGTAGCTTTCCTTCGCCAAATAGATCACATTGGCGAATATGGAGAGCACGGGTTTGCGGCTGAAGAAGGTCAGTTCACTCCACACCACCATAGCGGACATGGTGGCAGTGACCACGCAGAGAGTCTTGAGAAACGGCGCCTTCAGTAGACACTCCCAATACCACTGCAACGTGGCACTGTAGCAGATCCTCTCCAGCTGTGTGCGTTGTCTCGGAAATTCCGATTTGAAGCTTCGCTCGGCGGAGTGAATGTTCCTTGCCACATCCTCCAGATGCAGCACCGTCTCCACCTGCACACTCCACAGCGCCTCAGTGCGCTGCAGCGTCTGCAGGGATTTGATCACCTGCTTGTGGATGCGAACCAGGGCCTTTTCCGAGGGCAAAATGGTGGAGCTAGTCGCTCCCATTCCGCTGCCCCCAGTGCGGGAGAAATTACGGCTGGCCCGCTCCTGCAGCTCAATTGGAACCTTCCGCATTATGGTCTCCACGCAGGGCCGCAGCTCATGGTTGTTGGGCACCACCCGACTGATGCACTGCAGCGACTCTAGTATGTCGTCCACATGCTCCTCAGCCTCCGCCTTGTCCGTGCTGAGCTTGGCTGCCTTGAAGTAGGCATATTGCAAAGTGAATCCCGGCTTGGCGTTGTTCCACATCGAGCGTGGCACCTCCACCAGGGCATAGCCCAGTAATAGGATTAGCAGGAACAGCCCCCAGGTATTCGAAGCCGACGAGGCAATTGCCTTTAGCTTTTGCCAGTCCAGGGGCACGCCCTTGACTGCAATGTAGATGAGCAGGACGCCGCAGATGAACAGATAAGAGCCATAGTAGATGGCGTTCTCGATGAGCGCCGACTTTAGTTTGCCTTTGATCGTAAAGTCGCCGGCCTTGAGGTACGATTGCATCAATGGCATAATCAACCAGGTGAGGAACTGCGAACTCCAGTAAATGATGCGCCACAAATTAGGAAACACCGACTCGGGCACCATTCCCCAAGGTTCTTGGCATTCGGGCGGTGGGGTTATATTGGCCGACGCCGTTGTGCTGGCATTGTCAGCTGCCTCCAGTGCCAGCTTCCGTTCCGCCAGGCATTGCCGGTAGAGTGTCTGTAATTGGAGTTTTTATCAACCATATGGGAACCATATGCCGGCCCATACTCACCGAAGTCACATCCAGCGGAATGGTGAAGACAATCAGGAACGAGAAACACCAGGCTGTCAGCACGGACAGGGTGACCAGGATATGCTGACGTGGTATGTTGCCATAGCGGTACAGCGAGATGCTGGCCAAGAATAGGGCCGCAATAATGCCGAATGTCAGTAGATAGGCCATATTAACAAAATCAATCAACAAATTTGTGCTTTCCGTGAGTGTGTGTGTGTGTGTGTTTGTCTGTGCTGTGATTAGTGGCTATATATAATAACTATTTCATTTCGGGCCGCTCTAATGACCGGGACTATTCCTTGTGGGGCTCGGTGATTTTCTTATTGTTTCGCTTCTTTTGCAATTGTCGCGCAGTTTCGCGATGCATTTCCTCCAGCCGTTCCAGCGCCTGCGTCTTTAGCGGCATCAGGTGCGGCCTACAAAAAACCAGCTCTGTTTTGTGCTCGAAAAATAGTTTTCCGGTTGTGGGCTCAATCAGATCGATTTTCTCATTCACTTTTCTAAGCAGCTCGGACTCTACTTCGGACATGCTAGCGGATTGGAAACAATCCAATCGCCGCAACTAGGCTGGAACTCTAGCTTAGACACTTTGATACACAAAGCAACCGTTCGATTTGCGTTTTATGTTTTTAAAATTGCATTTATTTGTTTTTATTAGAGGTGTCAAACCATCGAGGGCACTACGATAGTATCAATACTATCGATGGTTTTGCGACTATCATGATAGTATCGAGCTACAGTCGTTGGGCTTTTGATATGTTTGGATTGGCTGCTATAAAATACGGAGACGCATTTGTAAGCAAATCGACAGGTGGCATCTAATTTTTACAATGGACAAGTTCCTAAAAGGTTTCAATGGTTATTTGAGCCCGATACTATCACGATAGTATCGATTTTTTTTCAAACAACCTATGAAAGTACTATCGGCACATTTTGTTCGCTATCGATAGACCCTGGAGAGTCCAGAAACTAAAAACAAATTTGATTCATTTAAATCAAATCTATTTTTAATTATTTTATTATTAGTATTTGTCTTAGGATGTGACATGGCATTTCTACATATCTATCGGCAATAACAAGAGACGAGACATAATTAACCAGTCTTATCGATACTCCAAGAAGTTGATCTAGAGAGGGGATTTTGATTTGCTGGCAAAAACCAAAAGAGAAATTCATAATATTCTAGATTATACAGGGAGGTGGCACTGCCTAAATCGTCAATAAATGAATGCGGACAACACAGTTATCAATGTTGAGAAGACCCAGGACTGCCGCACCAGCGGCGACGGGATGGAACAGCCAGAACAGACCGCACCAACAAAAGTTGAAAATGCAACAAGCACTGATGTGGATATTAAGGTCAGGCGACCACAGTTGTCGCGGAAGGCTGCAGAGCAGAGCAGTTGCCTCATCTCTGACGATGCAATGAACCTTCTCCTGGGGCAGCTGCAATGCAGTAGGAGAGATGGTCACCGTCGCTTCGCCCGCAATATTCGGATATATGCCCCACAGGAAGAAGCTGAAAAAAATAAGTTTAAAATATAATATATTTCGTGTTTCCTGTTTCGGAAGAGACCAATCTTCCTCATCAGCGATCTTTACTTTTTCCAATGAAGGGAAAAGATGGTCGATCGGACAGGATGTGTGTTAGTTAAGTATTATTCAAGCCTCTCCAAGCGATCGAGACATTTTTTCAGTCGTTCATGTGTGCCACATGAATTTCTTTGTTGGTATTATTACTTATTTTTCTAGCCTTTCCAAGCGATCGAGACATTTTTTCAGTCGTTCATGTGTGCCACATGAATTTCAGATGTAACCATTTCAGGCCATCCTGTCATCTTCTGTAATTATATCGAAGAACTGATTTAATGAAATATGTTCACCAACATCTTCTTCCACACCAACAGCTGCGGAATTTTCTTCCACACAAGGAACAGCTGGGGAAGAATTTTCAATATTTTTGGTTGCATATTTTTTCCACTGAGGAACCAATTCCACAAGCTAACAGTCTAATGACATAGTCATTTTTGGCTGACTTCGCAAGCTTTCGGGGCAGTTGTGGTTTACCGTTTTTATTTTGCAAGTGAAACTGCATTGCAAACAAATATATTTTTTTGGTATAAATTGGCACTTGGTCGAGTGCTTTGTCAATATGTTTTTGCCTCCATTCGAAGTTTTCGAACAAAATATGCATTTTTTTTTCATAGACTGGCCTGGGATAAAGCCTGGAGGGGCCGAACACCCCTTCGGCGGTCGCCACCAAGGCACTCCATCTATAATACAGACACATTCCCCCGCAATACGATTATCGGGATTGGGGAGTGGATCAGTGCCATTAAAATACCTCATGTTTTCATTTTCAAAATAATAACAACTTGCCTCAGCTTTTTCTGCAGGCAGTGGCGGTAGGGAACCGGAATCGATTGGAAATGAATATTCCATGTCGCGCTTCCCTGTAATTTTCCCTACCGCTGTATTTGACATGAGCCGAGGAGTCTTCGCTGCAGGAGCACGCTTCACCCCTATGGGAGTCGAGCTGAGAGGTGGCTCTGAAAAATTCAGCTCTGCGAATCGCTTCCGTGCAGCAGCGCTAGTGCTTGGCACATTGTCCATGTCCATGACCGGTGGCTCTTGTAGGCCTGCGAACATTGGAGTTCGAGACACTGGCCTTTGTGGTCGGTCTGTAGGGGATGAAGCCCCTTCGAACATTGGAGTTCGAGACACTGGCCTTTGTGGTCGGTCTGTAGGGGATGAAGCCCCTTCGAACATTGGAGTTCGAGACACTGGCCTTTGTGGTCGGCCTGCAGGGGATGAAGCCCCTTCGAACATTGGAGTTCGAGACACTGGCCTTTGTGGTCGGCCTGCAGGGGATGAAGCCCCTTCGAACATTGGAGTTCGAGACACTGGCCTTTGTGGTCGGCCTGCAGGGGATGAAGCCCCTTCGAACATTGGAGTTCGAGACACTGGCCTTTGTGGTCGGTCAGGAAGAGGCTGCCCCTTTGCTGGCGCTTTCGCGGCTATTTCATCGCTTGAAATGCCGGAATTGGACTGTGTCAGGCGTATGTGTTCATACTGCTCTGACAGGAGAAGATTATGCCTATCTCGTTCGATTGCAAGCTCTACGATCTTTTTTGCATAAAGCGATCGAGCCAGTCGGGCAGCTGCCAGCGGGACTGGATCGATCGGATCGAACGGGAAGGGCTGTTCTCCTTCCATGACTTACCCAAATTCAGCAAGTACTTGTTTTATATGTTGCGCTATTACACACGCACAAACAAACACGCAAATTCAGCGTGCACTTTCGCACTTGTTTTATATGTTGCGCTATTACACACGCACAAACAAACACGCAAATTCAGCGTGCACTTTCGCACTTGTTTTATATGTTGCGCTATTACACACGCACAAACAAACACGCAAATTCAGCGTGCACTTTCGCACTTGTTTTATATGTTGCGCTATTACACACGCACAAACAAACACGCAAATTCAGCGTGCACTTTCGCACTTGTTTTATATGTTGCGCTATTACACACGCACAAACAAACACGCAAATTCAGCGTGCACTTGTTTTTTATTTTCACGATATTATACGGCGAGCACTTTGAATTGTTTGTCCGGAAGCGAAGCAAAACCACATGCCAAAGTCACTTAAAGTGTGCCTTGTCCTCACAAATGTACCAGAATATACCGAAAAATACTAGAAAACTTACGCATATACCACTTTCGATAATGATCGAAACTCATATTCCTTAATTTTGATATTCTGGCTACGAATGCTAGCTAACTAGGATTTTCAGCACTTAAGATATAATTTTGTAAGTCAGATGAATGAGTTTCCTGTAGTATATGGTAATTTTCTGTACTTCCTTCCGTTCGGTTGCTTATAAAATAGGGTTCGAATTGAAACTGAAGAGAGTACTAGGCTTAAAGCATAACTAAAAGCAACGTGTGAGTCGCTTCTAAAGACACGACTCTACTTGTACCCGTATATATACATTGTTGAGCTTATGATTATTTAGAATTTTAGAATTCTTCCATTTCTTTCTTTCTTTCCATTTTAAATTTTTTTTGCTATATCTGTTATCTAAATCTACTTCTACAATGTATATTTTACATCTAACATGTATATTCTACATGTACCATTTATATTGTACATCTCCTCCACTAGGGGTTGCTCGCGCACTGAACGCGATACACTTGTAGCAGTGTGATATCACATGAGTGTGGAAACCAAATTTGGTTGCCCTAGCTCTTATAGTCTCTGAGATCTAGGCGCTCAACAAGACGGACAGACAGACAGACAGACAGACGGACAGACGGACAGACAGACATGGCTCTATCGACTCGGCTATTGATGCTGATCAAGAATATATATACTTTATGGGGTCGAAAACGTTTTCTTCTCTGCGTTACACACATCCACTTTTACCACAAATCTAATATACCCTTTAACTCTTCTTTGAGTACGGGTATAACAAATACATGAAGTTGCCAGATACTTCAAAAAAGATCAAATATTCGAAATGAACAGTTAATTGGATCTATTTGCAATCAAAGCAAAAAAGGGAAAACAAAAAGAACAGAATGGAGGCAATAAGGGAGTATTTCTTAAAAAGCGAAAATTTTGGGCACCGTCCTGCCGATATTGAATCCGCAATACGGTTTGTTAATTCTGAATACAGGCACACACAGGGGTGTACAGTAGAAAACGTAGAGATATTGCGTACATTCTCGCCGTTCTTCGTCACATACGACGAACTGCACGTGAGACAGTTTGAAACAGGTGTAAGTATGATGTTATTTAAGCATGTTGCAATTTACTATCCAAAATATGTTTTCCAAAATAGCGTGGCATTCCTTCCAAAATTAAAATGCTGGTAATTGCGGCCCATACTGCTGAGCTGGACAGCCGTTTTGCAGTGCTCCACATTGCGGTGGTAAGTGAAAGCAATTTCATGTCTGGAAAAGTGTATAAAAATATTTGTATTTAACAGGCAGTCACAGAAGACACGACCATGGGCAAGGACAAGATACAGCTCCATGTGCAACGTGTGCTGGACCGCATAGGAGGCATGAAGGAGAATGGTATAACCTTTTCCAAAAAAGTACTAGGGGTCATCAGCGACGGCAATGCTGCAAATGCAAAAGCAGAATTTCACACATACCACTACGCGCATTTGCCGGTGCTGCGGGACTATATACATCTAAAAAATAATTTGGCAGAGCGGTACCGCTATACAGACCGAGTATTGCGGAGGGTATATATGAGGAGCATATTCAAGAAGATGATGCCGAATGTCAGTAGATAGGCCATGTTAACAAAAATCAATCAACAAATTTTGTGCTTTCCGTGAGTGTGTGTGTGTGTGTGTTTGTCTGTGCTGTGATTAGTGGCTATATATAATAACTATTTCATTTCGGGCCGCTCTAATGACCGGGACTATTCCTTGTGGGGCTCGGTGATTTTCTTATTGTTTCGCTTCTTTTGCAATTGTCGCGCAGTTTCGCGATGCATTTCCTCCAGCCGTTCCAGCGCCTGCGTCTTTAGCGGCATCAGGTGCGGCCTACAAAAAACCAGCTCTGTTTTGTGCTCGAAAAATAGTTTTCCGGTTGTGGGCTCAATCAGATCGATTTTCTCATTCACTTTTCTAAGCAGCTCGGACTCTACTTCGGACATGCTAGCGGATTGGAAACAATCCAATCGCCGCAACTAGGCTGGAACTCTAGCTTAGACACTTTGATACACAAAGCAACCGTTCGATTTGCGTTTTATGTTTTTAAAATTGCATTTATTTGTTTTTATTAGAGGTGTCAAACCATCGAGGGCACTACGATAGTATCAATACTATCGATGGTTTTGCGACTATCATGATAGTATCGAGCTACAGTCGTTGGGCTTTTGATATGTTTGGATTGGCTGCTATAAAATACGGAGACGCATTTGTAAGCAAATCGACAGGTGGCATCTAATTTTTACAATGGACAAGTTCCTAAAAGGTTTCAATGGTTATTTGAGCCCGATACTATCACGATAGTATCGATTTTTTTTCAAACAACCTATGAAAGTACTATCGGCACATTTTGTTCGCTATCGATAGACCCTGGAGAGTCCAGAAACTAAAAACAAATTTGATTCATTTAAATCAAATCTATTTTTAATTATTTTATTATTAGTATTTGTCTTAGGATGTGACATGGCATTTCTACATATCTATCGGCAATAACAAGAGACGAGACATAATTAACCAGTCTTATCGATACTCCAAGAAGTTGATCTAGAGAGGGGATTTTGATTTGCTGGCAAAAACCAAAAGAGAAATTCATAATATTCTAGATTATACAGGGAGGTGGCACTGCCTAAATCGTCAATAAATGAATGCGGACAACACAGTTATCAATGTCGAGAAGACTCAGGACTGCCGCACCAGCGGCGACGGGATGGAACAGCCAGAACAGACCGCACCAACAAAAGTTGAAAATGCAACAAGCACTGATGTGGATATTAAGGTCAGGCGACCACAGTTGTCGCGGAAGGCTGCAGAGCAGAGCAGTTGCCTCATCTCTGACGATGCAATGAACCTTCTCCTGGGGCAGCTGCATTTCCAAACCAAAGATCAAATTCTGAATGCAGTAGGAGAGATGGTCACCGTCGCTTCGCCCGCAATATTCGGATATATGCCCCACAGGAAGAAGCTGAAAAAAATAAGTTTAAAATATAATATATTTCGTGTTTCCTGTTTCGGAAGAGACCAATCTTCCTCATCAGCGATCTTTACTTTTTCCAATGAAGGGAAAAGATGGTCGATCGGACAGGATGTGTGTTAGTTAAGTATTATTCAAGCCTCTCCAAGCGATCGAGACATTTTTTCAGTCGTTCATGTGTGCCACATGAATTTCTTTGTTGGTATTATTACTTATTTTTCTAGCCTTTCCAAGCGATCGAGACATTTTTTCAGTCGTTCATGTGTGCCACATGAATTTCAGATGTAACCATTTCAGGCCATCCTGTCATCTTCTGTAATTATATCGAAGAACTGATTTAATGAAATATGTTCACCAACATCTTCTTCCACACCAACAGCTGCGGAATTTTCTTCCACACAAGGAACAGCTGGGGAAGAATTTTCAATATTTTTTGTTGCATATTTTTTCCACTGAGGAACCAATTCCACAAGCTAACAGTCTAATGACATAGTCATTTTTGGCTGACTTCGCAAGCTTTCGGGGCAGTTGTGGTTTACCGTTTTTATTTTGCAAGTGAAACTGCATTGCAAACAAATATATTTTTTTGGTATAAATTGGCACTTGGTCGAGTGCTTTGTCAATATGTTTTTGCCTCCATTCGAAGTTTTCGAACAAAATATGCATTTTTTTTTCATAGACTGGCCTGGGATAAAGCCTGGAGGGGCCGAACACCCCTTCGGCGGTCGCCACCAAGGCACTCCATCTATAATACAGACACATTCCCCCGCAATACGATTATCGGGATTGGGGAGTGGATCAGTGCCATTAAAATACCTCATGTTTTCATTTTCAAAATAATAACAACTTGCCTCAGCTTTTTCTGCAGGCAGTGGCGGTAGGGAACCGGAATCGATTGGAAATGAATATTCCATGTCGCGCTTCCCTGTAATTTTCCCTACCGCTGTATTTGACATGAGCCGAGGAGTCTTCGCTGCAGGAGCACGCTTCACCCCTATGGGAGTCGAGCTGAGAGGTGGCTCTGAAAAATTCAGCTCAGCGAATCGCTTCCGTGCAGCAGCGCTAGTGCTTGGCACATTGTCCATGTCCATGACCGGTGGCTCTTGTAGGCCTGCGAACATTGGAGTTCGAGACACTGGCCTTTGTGGTCGGTCTGTAGGGGATGAAGCCCCTTCGAACATTGGAGTTCGAGACACTGGCCTTTGCGGTCGGCCTGCAGGGGATGAAGCCCCTTCGAACATTGGAGTTCGAGACACTGGCCTTTGCGGTCGGCCTGCAGGGGATGAAGCCCCTTCGAACATTGGAGTTCGAGACACTGGCCTTTGCGGTCGGCCTGCAGGGGATGAAGCCCCTTCGAACATTGGAGTTCGAGACACTGGCCTTTGCGGTCGGCCTGCAGGGGATGAAGCCCCTTCGAACATTGGAGTTCGAGACACTGGCCTTTGCGGTCGGCCTGCAGGGGATGAAGCCCCTTCGAACATTGGAGTTCGAGACACTGGCCTTTGTGGTCGGCCAGGAAGAGGCTGCCCCTTTGCTGGCGCTTTCGCGGCTATTTCATCGCTTGAAATGCCGGAATTGGACTGTGTCAGGCGTATGTGTTCATACTGCTCTGACAGGAGAAGATTATGCCTATCTCGTTCGACTGCAAGCTCTGCGAGCTTTTTTGCAGAAAGCGATCGAGCCAGTCGGGCAGCTGCCAGCGGGACTGGATCGATCGGATCGAACAGGGAGGGCTGTTCTCCTTCCATGACTTACCCAAATTCAGCAAGTACTTGTTTTATATGTTGCGCTATTACACACGCACAAACAAACACGCAAATTCAGCGTGCACTGCACTTGTTTTATATGTTGCGCTATTACACACGCACAAACAAACACGCAAATTCAGCGTGCACTGCACTTGTTTTATATGTTGCGCTATTACACACGCACATTCAGGTTGCACTTTCGCACTTGTTTTATATGTTGCGCTATTACACACGCACAAACAAACACGCACATTCAGGTTGCACTTGTTTTTTATTTTCACGATATTATACGGCGAGCACTTTGAATTGTTTGTCCGGAAGCGAAGCAAAACCACATGCCAAAGTCACTTAAAGTGTGCCTTGTCCTCACAAATGTACCAGAATATACCGAAAAATACTAGAAAACTCAAAAATCAATCAACAAATTTTGTGCTTTCCGTGAGTGTTTGTGTGTGTGTTTGTCTGTGCTGTGATTAGTGGCTATATATAATAACTATTTCATTTCGGGCCGCTCTAATGACCGGGACTATTCCTTGTGGGGCTCGGTGATTTTCTTATTGTTTCGCTTCTTTTGCAATTGTCGCGCAGTTTCGCGATGCATTTCCTCCAGCCGTTCCAGCGCCTGCGTCTTTAGCGGCATCAGGTGCGGCCTACAAAAAACCAGCTCTGTTTTGTGCTCGAAAAATAGTTTTCCGGTTGTGGGCTCAATCAGATCGATTTTCTCATTCACTTTTCTAAGCAGCTCGGACTCTACTTCGGACATGCTAGCGGATTGGAAACAATCCAATCGCCGCAACTAGGCTGGAACTCTAGCTTAGACACTTTGATACACAAAGCAACCGTTCGATTTGCGTTTTATGTTTTTAAAATTGCATTTATTTGTTTTTATTAGAGGTGTCAAACCATCGAGGGCACTACGATAGTATCAATACTATCGACGGTTTTGCGACTATCATGATAGTATCGAGCTACAGTCGTTGGGCTTTTGATATGTTTGGATTGGCTGCTATAAAATACGAAGACGCATTTGTAAGCAATTCGACAGGTGGCATCTAATTTTTACAATGGACAAGTTCCTAAAAGGTTTCAATGGTTATTTGAGCCCGATACTATCACGATAGTATCGATTGTTTTTTTCAAACAACCTATGAAAGTACTATCGACACATTTTGTTCGCTATCGATAGACCCTGGAGAGTCCAGAAACTAAAAACAAATTTGATTCATTTAAATCAAATCTATTTTTAATTATTTTATTATTAGTATTTGTCTTAGGATGTGACATGGCATTTCTACATATCTATCGGCAATAACAAGAGACGAGACATAATTAACCAGTCTTATCGATACTCCAAGAAGTTGATCTAGAGAGGGGATTTTGATTTGCTGGCAAAAACCAAAAGAGAAATTCATAATATTCTAGATTATACAGGGAGGTGGCACTGCCTAAATCGTCAATAAATGAATGCGGACAACACAGTTATCAATGTCGAGAAGACTCAGGACTGCCGCACCAGCGGCGACGGGATGGAACAGCCAGAACAGACCGCACCAACAAAAGTTGAAAATGCAACAAGCACTGATGTGGATATTAAGGTCAGGCGACCACAGTTGTCGCGGAAGGACAGCACAGTTGTCCAGGAGGCGGCGATGGCAAGGAAAACATCCTCAAGCAGTGCCTCCCATCTGCCTCTTCCGGGCCTGCATACGCTCTACAGACGCCCCGAAATTGTTGCTCGAAGCCTGGCCCCAGCCCTACCCAAGGGAGAGCTGGTGCAGCTGAAGCCGAGGCTGGTCCATCCGAATCACGAACCGCTGCCGGAACACAAAAAGACTAAACCACCGAAATTCGTGCCTTATGAGCCATATCCAGGAGCTGTGAATCCCATGACTGCTGCACCGTCGACCAAGCATAAAATTCATCGTGACAAAAACAACCTGGACATCGGTGTACTCGTGGATCAAGTGTCCACTCTGCGCACTCAAGAACTGGACTCTGAGCCCAAGGAGAATGACAATAAAGATGCCAACAGCGGGGAGTTGGACAGCCTGAAGGAGCAGCTCTCGAAGATGAGGGAGGAACGTGACTACTTCCAGGCCCAATACAAATTTCAAACGCAGGTCAACAGCGAACTGAAGAATCTGCTTGTGGCGTCAGTGGGAGAGGATCTGCAGACTCGCGTCAATCTGCTGACCGAAGACAAGTTGCAGCTGGCTCGAGCCCTGCTGGATACAGCAAACAATCTCACGACGCATACCGAACAGATTGAGTTTCTCGCGGGACAATGCGAAGTGTGGCGATCAAAGTTTCTTGCCAGCAGTGTCATGGTCGAGGAGCTGGCACGCTGGAAGGCCGATCTCACGCAGAAGAATCAGATGCTGAACGAGTCCACCAAGCAATTGCTGCATGCCACGCACCAGATACGCGAGATCCAGCTGGATATGCTGAAGCAACTGAAGTTTTTGGCCAAAATTCGCTATCTCAATCTGCCCGCTACCGATGTGATAAGTCTGAGTGCCGAGAATCTGAATATCCTACAGCGAATGGTGCTCCACACGGGAGTGGGCATTCCCGAGGAGACGCTCAAGTTGTCCAGTGCCAGCACGAGTCCGCTCTGTGAGGCGGAAAAGTATGCAGTTCGGGTAGGTATTCGCTTTGTTCATAGAGATCTAATAATTATCTGAAACATTTCTTTAGGCTCTGGAGTTTATTAGTCAGCCCCTGATGGCTACCGATGAGGCCATACGCGCTTTATTCCACCAAGCCCAACGACCCCATTATGTGCGAACAGTTTCTGCGGAGGATCCTCCTACCGACAGTGCTCAGTCGGACCTAAAGCAATAATATGTTAGTGAATCGTTAGAAATTAATGTGAAAAATGTTTAGTTCTATTCAATTTTATATACAATCAACAATACAATCAGCGTATATAAAATGCATTATTGGCCATTCCTTGCGGTGGCGTACAGATCCAGGCGACGTTGGCTAAACACGGGAATCTGCTGACGTACTTGCTCCACCAGCGAGAAGTCAATGTCGGCCACCACAGTCTCCTCCCCGTCGCTGGCGCTCTTCTGGACCTTGGCCCAAGGGTCAACAATCATTGAATGGCCATAGGCCACATATTCAGCGCTCGAATCTCTAGCCGGAGAAGTGGTTACCACAAAGAGTTGATTATCATTGGCTCGGGAACGCTGAAGCAGCTCCCAGTGCAGGGGTCCAGTGGTCATATTAAAGGCGGCCGGATAAATGATCATCTCACAGCCCTCATTCCGATAGAGACGCGCCATCTCCTCGAAGCGAATGTCATAGCAGATGCCAATGCCAATCTTGTGTCCATCCACATCGATGGTGGTGAAGTCATTGCCCGCGGAGAGTGTCTCGGACTCCTTGAAGCAAATGCCGCCTTTCACATCAATGTCGAACAGATGCATCTTCCGATGCTTGGCTATCAGATCCCCGCTGGGCGACCACACCGTGCACGTATTGTAGATGGCATCGTTGTCGCCGAGCTCCGGGATGGTGCCTCCCACAATGTACACCTGATGTTTCTTCGCGAGATTCGATAACTGTTGCGAGGTGTAGCCATCCGGTATGGTTTCGGAGTACTCGCGGAAGTATTTGGTGCCGTACGGAGCGTTGAAGCACTCGGGCAGTGTAATTAGACGGGGCTGGTGCTCCTTAACGACAGCTTCTATTTTGCTTGCAGCATTTTGCACATTGACCGTTTTGTCCTTGGAGCCCTTCAGTTGCAACAGCGCCAGACGCATGACTACAGCGTTGTTATTGCTTTCATTAGTAGTCAGTTTAAGTACGCTATCTACTTACTGCTGCTTACTTTGCTCATATTGCCTCAATAAAATTTCTTATCTCTGCTGCGGTTTGATAACAATTTTTGTTGCAATTGAGATGGCAGTCCTTCGATATAATCGATACAACTAGTACCAATCGGACTAGTGGTGTGCGCTTTTCGATACAGAAATCAAGGCGAGGAAGTGCTGGAAAATACGAGAAATGACGAAGCGCACCCAAGTTCAACTCCTCGGCTGGCAGTGCTGCCACCTTTCTTTCTTTCTTGTCTCTTAAAGGTACGCACGTGTCTTTTGTCAAATTTCTAAAGAATATTCGCAAATTGGCAATAGTTGCTTGAAATATTCAACATAAACCAGCTGCAAAGCTACCCCAAATAGTGACACAACAAACTAACAATGAATTTCTCTGCTTTTGCATACACTTTCCACGCAATCTCTTGGCCTGCAGCAGAAACAACAACAATATGGTCCAACGTCTGACGCTAAGAAGACGCCTGTCGTACAACACCCGCTCCAACAAGAGGCGCATGTAACTATAAAATAACATTCCCCATTAAGAAATTGTATTAATCATAGCTTATTATTTTAGTGTGCGCACTCCTGGCGGTCGCCTGGTGTACCAGTATGTCAAGAAGAACAAGACTGTGCCCCGTTGCGGCCAGTGCAAGGAGAAGCTTAAGGGCATCACCCCCTCTCGTCCCAGCGAGCGCCCACGCATGTCCAAGCGCCTGAAGACCGTCGCCCGCACCTACGGAGGCGTTCTCTGCCACGGCTGCCTGCGCGAGCGCATCGTTCGCGCCTTCCTCATCGAGGAGCAGAAGATCGTCAAGGCCCTGAAGAGCCAGCGCGAGGCATTGGTGAAGCCCGTCAAGGCCCCCAAGGTGGAGCAGAAGAAGAAGCCCACTGGCAAGCCCACGAAGCCAGGAGCCGGCAAGGCCGGTGCCAAATCCACGGGACCCAAGGGAGCCGCTGGCGCTAAGGGTGCTGCCGGCAAGAAGCCCGGACAGAAGCCTGCTGCTGGCAAGCCAAGGAAGTAAACGCAACGCGAACATGGGACGAGTTCGGTTAACTGCTAAATAAGAAATTTATAAATAAATTGTTTTCCCAAAACGGACTTGCAGCCGCGTACACCTTTGTTTTCAGCCAGCAGCGTTTTTGGTGTTGTTAATGGGGCCCCATCTAGTAAGTGCAGCGGAGGATCGGGGATAGAGATCTGCTGCTGAACCGCGTTGGAGAAACGTATCCCAGATTTGAGGAGAAAAGCTATACATATTTTTAAATACCTTCAAAGCAATCACGCGTAGGGTTAATGTTGGTATCCAAAACCAAAAATAATATAGATAAAGATATTTTGAGGGGGTGCCGACTGTATTGTAGAGTGCGAGTCGGAGTCCACTCTTTATTTGAATTCGATTTTTAAATTAAACGCGAAAAAAACAACAAAATCGATACAAATATATAGTGGTGGGCGTCTTTCGATAGTTACTGTGTAGTTACCATGTAACAAAATTACATTTTTTAAAATTTCATTTCTTGAACCTTATTTTATAAGTAATCCAATAAATGGGTGTCCTGCAAACAAGCTAAAAGGTAGAAAATTGATACATCTATCCGATAAAATGATATTTTCAGTCATTTAAGTCCTAACTAGTTAGTAATATTAAACCGAATATCAAAATCGAGGAATATCAACGCAATCTTGTCGTGTCAGTCAGTATATTTACGGTATATTTTAATGATTATAAGGTATATTTCAGTATATTTCTGAGGGTCTTACGGTATATTTTTTCGATAAATCGGTCACGTAAGAGGGTTTTTTGTTTTGTTTTTTAAAATTTAAATTTTAAATAACTTTTGATATCTTTGGCGTTTGGCGCAGGATGTCGGGAACCAAAGTGCTTCGCTCCCTGCTGCACGAGCTCCGCAAGGCGTCCCCAAATGGCTGCATTAAGGATTCATTGGCCGCCCGCTACATACTGGCGCAGTACAAGAGGCACGAGACGACCGACCAGCAGCACTGCAAGGCTCGCAACGAGGCAGTTTTCTTGGGCCAAACCTATCTCACTTACTTGAGCAGCCTGCGCACCTATACCGAGCTGTACC